AGAGAGAGAGAGAGAGAGAGAGAGAGAGAGAGAGAGAGAGAGAGAGAGAGAGAGAGAGAGAGAGAGAGAGAGAGAGAGGCAGGGGGGGCAGAGGAGGAATGGGTGGCAGAGCAGGAGGAGGACAAGGAGATCGTTGTGGACAAAGACAGGGAGGAGAAGAATGTGTGCGCCGCCGAGATCTCAAAAACGATCAAACACATGCGGCCAGGGATACAGACAAGAACAGCCGGAGAGAAAAGTGGGGCTGGGGGGAGGACAAGAGGAGAGAAAATTGGTATTCATTTCGCAAAAAAAAGACAGACAAGGAAAAGAGGGGGACGGACAAACACATTCATGCCGAGGGGAGAAAGGAGGGGGAGAGGACAAAATAAATTGGTATTCACATCGCAAAAACAGACGCGGAGAACAGCAGGGTGCGGACAAAAACATTCATGTGGGCACTGGACTCTAATTTCCGATACATTTGCTGTTCATATCTTACATTCCTGCCATGCTTTCGGGTACATTGCTGTTCATGTTGCCTTTGCGAAAAAAGGCAGACAGAGTTGCATTCCTCCCCCCCTTCCCCGCCCCTCCTTCCCATCTACCCACTTCGCCTTCTTCGCCTTCACCCCTCTTCTCCAGTCCTGCATTATTCCCTCAGTCGTGGCAACGCCACTGCCGGTCGACTTGTGCGAATAAAGAGCGATGACCAGACATCAAAGAAGACAGAGAGACAGAGTCCAACCAAGAATCAACCAGAATGTGAAGAATACGTGGATAAAGACCATTGTTTTTTGCAGCGCAGTGGAGATCCACAGTGGGAAAAAGAGGCTCAGATTTAGTGGTGGTTCAAGGAGCAGGACCAATACTTGCAATGACCCTGTAACTGTCCAGATTTTGGGCCTGGCTTGGATCCCTCGTCACTTGTCCAGATGCTAGCCATGTCTAGGGGTCATGTCCTGCTCACCTCTTTCTCTTTCTCTTTGGCAAGAAACAGGATAGCTATCATAAGTAGTTTTTTTCCAAGGTCCAGATGATGTGTTTATTTCAGCAGAACATGTACATTTCAGCCTGTGTTGCTTTGCATGGCCAAAGGGAGTTCATACACATATGTGTACCCGGCCCAACACGCCTGTACACTTTTTTGTTTTTTAACCACCTGAGCAGGGCATTGATGTGGGGCATAGTATTTGCAGCTTGGAATGAGCCTGAAAGCACACTCACGCGCCCCAATACTGCAGTTAAAACCCATGCCGACCCCCCCACCACACCCCACTGTGTACGTGATTTTCACATGACCTTTACATGGCTTGCAGGCAACGCAATCCAGACTTCAACATAGACATGCAAGCTACACATTGGTAAAAGGGAGACACAGACAAACGCTTCAAGAAATTTCTTGAATCATGAGCAGGAGTACCTACCCTTCCCATGTGAACAACGTGGAAAGCACTGGCATAGCTTGAACCATGCGTTTTCAGCAAGAATTCATCAATCTGCTGGGCTCTTTTGCTTCCTTGAGCGTTGCCTGGAATGTCGGTGACAACGATTGCAAACTGGTTGACGTTATCCCCTGCTCTTGACTGAGACCGCGCTCGCAAATTCACTACTTCGCGATACGTTTTGGCAAGAACGTAATAGACCACAAAAGACACCCAATATACGCCAATCACATGTGCCCAAAGCCGCGTTCCGCCATTCTGCCACAAACAGTCCAGAAGGTGTAAGACCGAGTAAAGCACCCATCCAAGCAATGGCATCTGTGTGGTAATTTTCTTCTCAGACTCGTATGCATCCAACAAGACGAGCAGCAGCTCAACTTCACATTTTCTATATACGCGACTGAGCTGCAGATCATTCACCGGCAGTTCAAACAAACTTGCCACAGAGGCAAGAACAACTCCCCTGACACAGTGAATGTGATCCCAGCTTGTGCTCAATCCGTTCTGCATCTCAGAAACAGCTCCACGACAAGCTGTCATTAGTGCTAATTTGCTATACGGACAAAAGAAGGATGTGCACACACATGCAGGAAAATAAAAATGCATAGAATTTCAATCCAGTTTGAAGGCTCCGACAAGGCATGCAATAGAGTTTTGAATTCTGACGTTACAGCCTCAGGCACGTAGATTGTCCATTTGCATGCCACCAGAGGTTCTTGTTGCGCGTCGTGCTGTAATGCAGGGTTCAGGAATAGCCAACTAAGAGGGCCACCTTGCCCTAAAATAGGATGATCCGGTCTCAAAGCTTGTTTCAGGTTTTAACCTCTATCCTGGAATGCATATATATTTAGATACCCTCAGACTCGACTAACGTCCAGAGGGCTGTCCTGTTCAACATTCGAAGGATCGAGAACCGTCTACATCTAGTGAACCTTTGCCCACGACTAACAAAGCACACAAAAAGAAAAAGCAGAAGGCGGTGGTGCAAAGCATAAGGTGGCTGCAAAGAAGAAGGCTGGAGATCGCAAAGAGGACAGTAGAGCTCCAACACCAACGAGCCTAGCTCAGTTGGTACACCCATGAACTGTTGCAATGCAGTCCTGAGTTCAAGTCCTGCTGGACCTTGATGAATGGAATAAATCATTAAAGTAAAAAGAAAAGGTAGAGCTGCAAAATAGTCTGACACTAAAATGTTGCATTTGCTCTCTGAGGCAAAACAATCCCTGTCTGTCCTCATCTTCCATTCTGCCTTTGTCCACCATCCAGAATCCCCACCATTTCTCTCTCTTTGCTATCTCCTCCTTTCCTGCCTCTCGTTCCCTCACCTCTTCCCCTCCCGTTTCTCGAGCAGACAACTCGACATTTAACGGAAACCCTGTTGTTCACTGTTCTGTTACTATCCCTTTGTAAACCACTCTCCTACTCCAGCACCTCTTCCCCTGTCTCTTATACACATCTAGATGTGTATAAGAGACAGCCCTCACCTCTTCCCCTCCTGTTTCTCGGGAGGGAAAGAGCAGACAACTCGACATTTAACGGAAACCCTGTTGTTCACTGTTCTGTTACTATCCCTTTGTAAACCGCTCTCCTACTCCAGCACCTCTTCCCCTGTCTCTTATACACATCTAGATGTGTATAAGAGACAGCTTCCACACAATGCCACCATTTCTCTCTCTTTGCTATCTCCTCCTTTCCCGCCTCTCGTTCCCTCACCTCTTCCCCTCCTGTTTCTCGGGAGGGAAAGAGCAGACAACTCGACATTTAACGGAAACCCTGTTGTTCACTGTTCTGTTACTATCCTTTTGTACACCGCTCTCCTACTCCACCAGCTCTTCCCTTCATCACATTCTGCCAGGCTAAACATTCGCTTCCACATAATGCTTCTCTTACACCGCTCCTCTCTCTCCCTCATCTCGTCTTCTCATGCTTCATTTGTCCTAAACTTCTTTCCACCTTAAAAGGTGCACGGAGTTTGTTATAAAGATTATGTAAAAATCATGAAAATTTTGGGCTATTTGGTGTTCACTCTATGGACTGCTGACAGGTCTGGCTTAAAGGTGCACGGGGGGGGGGGTTCGTTAAAAAGATCATGTAAAAACCCGCAAAATTTTGGGCTCTGTAAACTTTCTCCTCCAGCCACAAGTGGCTAAAAAACCCTGAAAATTTAGGGGCTCTCTTACACCTCTCCACCTGAAATGAGAAGAGTCTTCACAGGAAACGTAAGAAGTACCATCTCTTTCCTTTGTGTTTTTCCTCCATCTTCACCTCCTCTCCCTCTGCTCTTTCCATTGGCTCATCAAAAATAAGAAGTGTTACAATCCTGGCCAATTTCGAAGTACAAATTCACGAGAAAGCACAATGTCGTCCAATTGCAAAAAGAAATGAATGAAGAGGGAGGGAAAGAATAAGAAGAAGAAGATGTATGCCAGCAGAATACGAATGGTTATTACCCCTTCTTCTCGCCAACTGACTCCTTTAGCAGAATACGAATGGTAATTACCCCTTCTTCTCGCCAACTGACTCCTTTGCTCCTTCCCTCTTATTCAAACAATAAATAATAATAATAATAGTGGTTAATGGCTGAACCAGAATCAATATACGCCAGCAGAATACGAATGGCAATTCCCCCTTCTTCTCGCCAACCGACTCCTTTTCTCCTTCCCTCTTATCCAAACAATAAATAATAATAATAATGATTAATGGCTGAACCAGAATCAATGTCCTCATAGTCCCCTTCTTCCTCCTCCTGCCCGAGCTCCTCCATCATAGCCAAGGTGGAGAGCTGGGCGCTCCTTCCCCAGCAGCGCTGCTCCACCACACGTTCCAGCAGCGTGTCGCCCAAACTTGCACGTATCAAATGAGGAAGATCAATGAAGAGCTCATTGCTCTTCCTGGAGATATAACGAGGCAGCAGCCTCCTTGGGCGGGGACTTCCAGGCAGCGAGGCCTCCAAGCAACCGGTACCTCCTCCCTTTCAGAGGGAAACATCATTGCAGGCTCTGATATTGTCCGCACAGGCCCTAGACTCAGACTAATTGGACTGGTATACCCGCCTAGACCTAACCTACCGCTACCGGGCCTCTAGAAATGCCAACTTTTTTGTCTTCTTCTGCTCGGCCTCCAGTCCCCGGCACATCTACCGCTACTTGACTGGTACCGGCATACCTACTGCTTGAGTGTTTTTCCCCGCTGCTCTAAGCGTCGCAGGCCTACTCCCGCCAGTGTTTTCCTCGCTGCAACCCTCAAAGTCATGGCCACAGGTAAGTACCGACCCTGCTGGCCCCCCGAATGAACAAGTGTCATTGCGGGTCATACACCAACTCAAGCCGACAAACACTCAAACAGCCACGCAGACCAGCAAGCACGCACACACACAGACTTAGAAAACTCGGCAGAAAGCGGGAATCTCAGCAAGGCATTCATTCTAGCGGCAAAACTCAGAAATCAGCTGTGTTCTCAGTCCGTGTTTGGGCAGGTCCTTACAGAAGTGCGTATAGGGAGACAAGAAAGAACAGTCTCTCCCTCCTCTATCTCTATCCTTTCTATGTTTCTTTTAGCTGACATGAACATGAGTTCTCCTCCTTCCCAATTCCCTCTCCCTATCCCAAATTAAAACAGCGTATCTCCTCCTCCCTTGCTTCTCTTCCACGTACCTCCACTCTCTCCCTCCCTCTCCCTCCTTCTCCCTCCTCTCCCCTTGATCTCAAATTCGGATAATAAATATGCATAGCCAACAACAATTATTCTAAAAAACAAACAAATGCATTGCAAATGTGGAACACCAGGACGGAGCTGGTCCTTCCCCGGTTCGCGTCACTGTGTATCTGCTCACCACAAACCATCTTGAACAAGTGTGCAGGAAACCGACCATGAGGCAGTTAACCACATTCGCAGTGTCACAAAACCTACCACCCTCACATGATGTTAGAAGAGCATGTGCATTCAAGTGTGCGAAAGCGCAACACCCCACAGCTCACAGTTGAAGGAAAAGGGGGGGATCAGGAGTTAAAATATAGAGGGAAAGGGTTGACACAGTTCATATGTGAAGAGACAGAGAGGGAGAAAGAGAGGAGCTCAAAGCCCACAGCTGCAGGAGAGAGAGAGAGAGAGGGGGTGACAGCTTGAACATGGACAGAAGGCGCTAAGGCAGTTTGTCCGCACCAGCTCACAGTTGTTCAGGGAAGTTCATGGATCAAACGTTCTTTTTCCGTTTTTTTTGGAAAAGCCCAGTGTCGGTCTGCTAGAAGAGGTGTGATATGAGCATCTCCCTCTAGCACCCTGTCGCTGGTTGCAGCAGTCTATGGGTGTGAAGTGGCATACACATCCTCTTGCTTCCACCACCGGGCCCCTTACCCGGCTTCCGCTAAGAACAACAAGGAAAGAGGATGTATTTGCATTTTGAAGTCTCATCCTCTTTCTGAAAGTCATCAACGCCCCAAAGTCAGAGGCGCAAGTGTAAAGGAAAGAGCATATATATCGTCACAAACAGAACTGCCCGGTAAACCGTAGGCAGAGAGAGAGAAGAGGACAACAAACGAGGGGCTGTGACAAACTGTTTCGTCGGAGTTTCACCGACTCATCAGGAGGCTGAACCCTCAACAGTCTGCA